ATGTGAGGTCTCGCAGCAAGCTATCAAATACGGCGCATTTCTCAGCTTTAAAAAAAACGCTTTGAGTCGCTAGGTGTTTCATCAGATTCGAGGTGTTACCTCCTTTGCACAGTATCACCTTAAAGCACTTGTTGCAGGCTGCTGAGTTTGCATCTTTTGCTGTGAAGTACAGCCAGACTTTTTATTCTGTAGCTCTGCTCTAAAAGAACGTACGTACCTGGGCCCGCCTACTATCCTCGGAAAGGTAAAATGATTGGCTAGAATCCAAAGTGTATGACGTCTCAGGAAAAAAAGCACTGAAAAAAAGCACCGAAATGTGCGCTGTTTTTCGGTCTGGTTACTACCGTTTATGTCAGAACCGGTGCCATCATGGCACCGGATACCGGTACCCATCCCTAGTCCTGAAGGAGTCCCCGGTGACAAGGAACAGTCAAAATTGTTCAAAATTAGTATTATGTGTACTGCAGTTACAAAATACATTATTCCAATTCCAAAATACTTTTGTGATGTCAGATTTAAATTACAAAACATAAATCTTACATAAAACATTTTGTAATTATAAGGATAATTACATAATATATATTAGATATAATATAAAACAGTCAGTTGTGTTTTGTTTTAACTTTACCATATCATAATTTGATTGGTAGCAACATTTTACCACTACAGTGAGCCAATCACTCATAATTCCTAGACATGTCAATCAGGTAGGAATGAAGTAAGACATTAATAGAAATAAAGAGTTGTATGTTGACATGTAGACCTTTCCTTGCTTAAATCATTGTTAATATTTTTGAAAAGTTAACCAGTGATAAGACAGCTTATCACGATAGAATATGCTAGATAGAACCACATAGCTAAAAGTGAACCAAACTGTTCACAATTTTATCTAGCTCTCAGTTTTAAGAAAGGCTGGTGACCCCTGTTATAGAGTCTGACAGCTGCGGGGATTATATACAAATATTCAACTATACCAGAATTAAACCAGGTCTAAATAAACAAAAAGGAGTGAGTATCACTACAAAGATTAACCCACAATGGTCCTCATACCACAGTTTGATATCAGGAAACACCGAGAGCATACACTGATATGACACCACAGCCATGCTATCATTGCAAACACTGATAACAGCATAAATCGAATTAAATCGGGACTTGATGAGTCTAGTATCACTAGAAATATTATAAACAGTCGTCTCCATACCACAGTTTGCTATCAGTAAACACCGATGGCATTCACTGATAGCATACCACATCCATGTTAGCAGTGTATAAACAATAGTTTAGCATTTATTAGCACAAGTATCAATAAAGGACTACCATACGGTGCAGATGGACAGGCGCTCTGCAGGTGCAGCTCCTGGAGCAAATGCTGTCATTTAGGGCGTCCGGCGCGTTTTTGTTCACGTACTATCGCGTTTGGTGTGAACATAACTGAACACTGATGACGTTTTATTTTTGCTGTATTTATATATTAATGTTTCACTGCCACATTAGGCTATGTAATGCTACAGTTCCCTATTAAATAAAGATGAGCGACCCTCCAGGATTCCGCTGATCATAAACCAGTAGTTGTGTTGGTCTAAATTTCAAGTTTTCTACCACGTCTTACTAAATTCATTTTAAAATACATCACCCCAGATGGGACTCGAACCCACAATCCCTGGCTTAGGAGGCCAGTGCCTTATCCATTAGGCCACTGGGGCTATATCGGCGGTGGGTTGTTATATGATGTCTAATACAATATTTTAATGCACTTTTGTGACGGTAAATACAGATTAAACCGTGGTGCTTGGTCTATATTACGTATAACTGTAGGGCAATAGAATGGGATTGGATTACATATTGATGGACTTTCCCTTGGATCTTAAAAACGCGCTTATTAGTTAAGTCGGAAAGCAACATTTAGTAAAAACGAAGTTTTTGCAATTATTTCAGCATTTGCTCTCGTCTCTTGAATGCGCTAGCGGATGGTGCAAACCCTCTTTGATCTCCCGACTGGTGACAGCGCTTCCTGAGAAGGAACCAGCCTCGTTTGTTTTCCTCCTCCCTATTCAGCACAGTCAGGAGGAATGGTAGCCAGTTAGCTTCTCAGACAGCAGCTGTTGGATTAACTTGTTACCGCTGTTTGGCATTCGGTTGTTCTGTCACAATAATGAATTTACTGCCTTCAAATCCGCACGGGAATGGACTCCTCTATGCTGGATTTAACCAGGATCATGGTATGAAGCGTCGTGGTGGGGGGTTTGTCCTCCCAAACGTGATTTGGGAGCATCGTTGATGCTAATCTATCACTACTAAGCCAGCGTCTTCAAATATAAAACCTAAAATAACAACTGCAGTTTTTCACGTTCACATATTGTAGTCCCTTGTAAAAATATGGCTACGTGCTCTCTCTTCTTGAAACATTAACTTTAAGCGCTCAACGTTAATACTAGCTTAGGCTAACCTATCCAAAAAATAGTTAGCGTTTTTGTTTTCAGCTAACCAGTTATCGAGTCTTAATTAGAAACTAGAAAAATTGGTACAGACATGATAAAAAATGGTCGAATTTTATAACGAGGAAATTATCTAACTGATTTGTATTTAAACTTAGCACAAATGCTAATATAAGCTAAGTTTTTATCGCACTAGTCATTACTGTGACCACAACGGGTGTCAGCAAGTGTTAGCTAAGCAATGCTAACAGCTCCCTTCGGTAAATGAACGGTAAACCGACATTAATGCACCTTAATTGCATAATTTTATGTTAGCTTTCCCGGTGATCAGTTTTTCGTTATGACTGTCCATTTTCTAAAATACAGATAACATGTTGTTCATTTGTAGTTTACGTTAAATCGACGTTTTCCTAGCTCCCCACCCACCAACGTTTACACAGGCCGTAAAGTTGGAGTGTGATTCCTGACCGTGCGGTCAGCATCTATCATAACCTTTTGTTAAAGTTACTCGTCAGCCACATTTGTGAAGATTGAAGTTAACCTATTGTTACTACACTATGGGGCCATGGCACTAAACGTCACTGTCGTCGTTGTCAACATATGATGCGGCAGTTTCATATGAATTCCAGAAGAGATCCAAACACTTTCTATATAAGGGCTGCACTTGTCTATGCATCTCATTCTTCCCAGTGTCCTCATGTAGTGCGTTCTCGTTACTGTAAATCTTGAGATGACCTGATATTGTAAAGTCATTTACGAGAACCACATTGTATGGCAACAACAGTGGATTAACCTTGTGTTCATCTTGTGATTTCTGCTGTTTGACCTCGGTGTCTCTCTACAGGATGCTTTGCCTGCGGTATGGAGAATGGATTTCGTGTGTACAACACGGATCCTCTCAAAGAGAAGGAGAAACAAGGTAACATGACTGCAAAGATTGGTCATATTTTTTGTTGGTAGGGATTTTACGCCTCAGACTTTGTAAATACTATTTTCTACAGTCACTGGTTTGCTCACATACTAGATAATGGATTAGAAGAAGCAGTGTGGAAATATTAAACCATTTTAAAAAGAAGTCAGTGACAGGAAAACAGTCTTTGAAAAGAAATTCCACAAGAATTCCTTGATTTTGTTTAATTTGAAGAGGACAAATATAATAAAAATGGACTAACACTAACAATGGGCATACTTGTCTGTTCACGTGAATGGATAAGCACCCATGCTTTGTTAGAAATATTAAAAAGTATCATACTTATATATGAGTATAATTGCTGCCTTTCCAGTAAAATCCTCTACCATCATGGGCTGCAGCTGGTGACAGTAGCCCCCCTTCAGTTTTTGCAGTTCTTGATGGACATTCCTTGTGAAAGTGGATTGTCGGCTGCAGTCAAAGACTGTGGAGTTGGAGTCTATCTGATTGCAAGACTCAAGACAGTTGAGTGAAAAAAAATGAGGACCACCAAAAAAGCACCCTGAAAAGCCTGGATAGGAAGGACAGGAACTGGCTATCTAGCAGCAAGTGACCCTAAAATAAGAGTGAGGGCATTGTCCAGTATCAGAGTACACTTGGGGAGCCTTCTTTATAGCTGGGTAACACACCCTACTAAAGTCCATGTGTGGGGAAACCCAGAGATCTTTACATACAGCTGTCTGCATGAGAAGGCACATTGAGTGATGATATATTTTTACTTTACAGTTTGATTTAAATAATTTTCTTAGTACATAATAAATCATAAGATATGCTTTATCACAGAAGTTGGTAATTTCCTGTGTTACAGCAGTAAAAACAACACAAAAAAGCCAAACAATGTATAGCTCAATAAAATAGAGTAAGAGAAAAACAGTATCTGAGTGAAAGTCTTATATTATTAAATCGAATGTAAACGATGAATACCATACAGTGTAGAGTTCAGTGATTTAAAACAAAGGCAAAATAATTGTTAGAACTTGGCGGATGCTGCTCACAGGAAGTCAGTGTTGTAACTGCATTGCAAGTCCTGAAACATGGAGGACATTTCACCCAGCACATGGCTAAGACAGCATGTGACCAAGCACATGACCTGCACTTCTTTAAACTCAAATTTAACTGCTTTAGGTCTGCAGTCTCTCCTTTCTCTGAGCTAACCCACCGTTAAGAGACTGCAAGCAGTGCAGTTTTTTTGTTTGTTTTTTTCTTTTTACCTACTATTGTCACTTACTGTATTTTACAGTATTTTACATTACTGCCCATTAATGTCATTTTCAGAATTCCTCGAGGGTGGGGTTGGCCACGTGGAGATGCTGTTCAGGTGTAACTATTTAGCACTAGTGGGAGGAGGCAAGAAACCCAAGTACCCAACTAACAAAGGTATGTTTTGTCAGCTTTGTTTGCTTTACTGTCAATACTGGATTTAAATCAGTCCTGTAATCTGACAAATGATCACTTTTAGATATTAAGAAAGATTCTTTTTTTCTTTCTGTCATACACAGTGAGAATCTCACCTGCTATTTGTACTAAAAGCCACAGATTATAAATGCATACATTCACCTGTCCACTCTGCAGCTTTTGTTCCAAAGGGTGTTAACTATGGATTTCAGTGGGATGTTGCTGTTAGTACTTAAAGTAATGTTTTGAGAAATTACAATGGAAAAGAAGCAAAACACATATCAGTTTGATGGGATATCTCCAGGTCCAAGGCAGATAACCCTTTGTTTTACTTTTCCACCATACTTTCACATTTTGCACAGTATGACTAAGGTCTGTTAAATGCTGTATATGTTGCAACACTAAAATGCCACTTCCTGTAGAACATGCAGTATGTTTTATATATGTGACGGCTTTTTTGTTCTCCAGTGATGATCTGGGATGACCTGAAGAAGAAGACTGTCATTGAGATTGAGTTCTCAACAGAAGTAAAAGCAGTGAAACTTCGACGTGACAGGTAGCTCAGTTATTATTGCAGCAGTTTCTAATGATTTTGTTTCTCTTTTTTGTATTCTGATCTTTTTGTTTGCTGATAGCGTGGTTATTTTTATTCACACTCCATTTTTAAAAAAGAGTAAATGAATAAAATAAAGGATCTTAATATCAGTGAGACAGGCTGATAAAGATTTAAATCCAAAAAATGAACTCTTAAATTTTGTTTTTCCTTTTTTTTGGCATTACTTAATAGTTTACATTTTTGCTTGTGTGTCGGTTGTTCCTGGTTCTTAGGATTGTGGTGGTCCTTGACTCAATGATCAAAGTGTTCACCTTTACCCACAACCCACATCAGCTACATGTGTTTGAGACCTGCTACAATCCCAAAGGTCAGTTTACCCTTTGAATAAAACTGTGACTTGCTCAAGCTATTAAACCATGCTGATTCTTTGGAAACGTATTAATCACCAAAACTGTAGTCCCAAATGTTCTACTGCTCTGGTCAAAAGAATAAGTGGGAAAAAAAACTGAGCTCAGTGGCTAAAAATGTTCCTTTTGTTTAAGAGCAACAAATCTTTTTTTCTTTTTTTTTTTTGTGGAAGTGCTGTTCTTCAGGTGTGTGACATTTTCAACACTTGCTCGCTTTCTCTCCTTGTCCTCCTCAGGTCTGTGTGTGCTGTGTCCGAACAGCAACAACTCTCTGTTGGCCTTTCCTGGGACGCATTCAGGCCACGTACAGATTGTGGACCTTGCCAACACAGAGAAGCCTCCAGTTGACATCCCTGCCCATGAGGGGGCACTGTGCTGCATAGCGCTCAACCTTCAGGGCACAAGAATAGCTACTGCATCAGAGAAAGTACGGACTTTAGAAAATTAAGTAAAGTAGTAGTAAAGGGACACTCCTTCAGTTGTGTATTTTGCTGTATTTCTTACTAACCTGTGTTCTGTGTTATATTTCCACAGGGGACACTCATTAGAATTTTTGACACATCTGCAGGTCAGCTCATACAGGAGCTAAGACGAGGCTCACAGGCAGCTAACATTTACTGGTAAGTGCTTAGCACAATGCTAACAGCATGAGAAACATGTCAAAATGATTAAATAATAAGTTAGCAAGCTAGCTCTGTCAATGTGGAGGGCTAGTTGCTCTACTCTGAGTTCCTGTTGAATGGCTGAACGTCTTACCCTATCTTTAAGTCAAAGACCAGCCACCCTTCAGAGAAAGCTAATATTTGCTGCTTGTATCAACAGTCTCATTCTGTGTGTAGGAACATAGACTAACCAATAAATCGACAACTTTGATTTTATGCTCAGCTTTTTGTTTATCAGCTTTTTGTTTTGTTTACTACAATCTGTCTTTCAATCTCCCACTTCCCTCACTCGTGAACAAGGCGCCAAGATACTTAAGTCCTCCACAGGCAGCAGCTTGTCCTTGGCCCAGACAGAGCACTCCACCCTTTTTTTGGCTGAGAACCATAACCTCAGATTTGGAAGTGTTAATTTTCTTCCTGTCGCTTTACACTCTCCTGTGAACCGCCGTAGTGCTAGCTGGAGGTTAGCTCGAGGCTTAGAGAACCATGTCATCTGTAAAATGTAGAGATGTGATACTGAGCCCACTAAAGTTGTCTGCAACCTGGCTATGCTAGAAATTCTGTCCATAAAAATTATGAAAAGAATCAGAGAAAAAAGGCAGCTCTTGTCGAGGTCCAGCCACCCGCTGGGAATAAGTCCAGCTTGGACTTAACAATGTGGACCAAGCCTTCATTGTAACTGTACAGTTATTCAATTCAATTCAATTCAATTCAATGAAACTTTATTGATTCTGAAGGTTGACCCCGAAGGAAATTGGGTTAAGGCTGCCGACCTTTGCCAGCGCCGACTTACCCTTCTGACCATACATACATTACACAAACATCACATGGGGAAGACAGGTCAGAGAGGTATAACAATGGAAAATGCACCACATGAGGAAAGATAAGGAGAAAAAAATCACTCCCCCCAGACTGAGCTCCAACAGGGAGATCAGTTTGAGAACAGAAAAAAGACACCTCTGCACATAGCACATGAAAAAACTCTTAATACACCAAAGAAACACATGACAAGCAACAGGGGTGAGAGACAGCCGATTTAGACAGTGCATCCGGGCCTGCAGCCTGTGCGCTGGTCTCCTTGATCCACCGTCAGCATCGGAAGGGAATAAGCGTCGAAGGCGTTTGGAAAGGGAGGGGGGATGAGTGTGTGCATATCAGTGTATATGTATGTGTGTGTGTGTCCAGAGTTCAGCTGAGACAGTGTCCTTCACCCTGCCAGACTAAGTAAACAGTCTTCCAGCCAACCCAGGTGGCCTTGCATGGAATGGGAAGGAACAGACTAAACACAGTCGTTATCAGCGTGTTGTTGTTCAGCTCCAGCCTTGAGACCGCCGCTGGCGCCGAGAGGGTATCCGCATGAAGTGATGGGGCTTTTTACTTTAGTGCAAACAACTCATATGAATTTCAAAGCTGTTCTAACAGTCCAACACTGGTCTCTCAATCTCCCGTTGGAGAGCCGTGAGCTTTCTATGATGTTATCCAAACTTACGTTCCGTGATGTTGTCGTTCTTTTTGCTCAAAGAGCAGGTTCTGAGAACTCACGACCGCAGTGCACTTCCCCAAGGTGTGATCGAATTTGCGCTCAAAGGTGTTGTTCGAGCTAGACCCTCCAGATGTAATCCAGTTTTTCACTGTCTTGTTCTGAGTATTCACGGCAGCCGTGCGTTCTCCAAGATCTTCTCCGTGCTGCACTCAATGAGCCCATTTTGAGAAACTCACGCCTCGTCCCATCATTTCAATCCCAGCGGGCAGCCTTGTGGGGTTTGAACAGCCGGTTCCGCTTCCTTAATTCTTCGATAAGCCAGGGCCAAGCCAGCTCCGATCAGCCAGAACCCTGTTATCATGGTTCCGAACAGGTAGATATCTTCAGCAGTCAGGCTCACCCGAGCCCAGACTTCTCGTTGAGAAGGGGTGTCAATTGCATTCAGAGACCAGTTGATCAAATCAATAATTCTCTTTTAGGTTTTAGAGAACAGACTGTGAGAGAGTGTTCCAGGGAAAAGTAATACAAAAAACACGAGACTAGACAAGGACATAAGAGGCTAAGCAGGGAAGCTAAGGGAGAGGAGAAAAGTGCGACCGCCTTCATCAAGAGCAAGAGCAGTTAATCATTTGTTCGCAGCAACAAGCCAGGCTCGAGAACCTGGCATAGACCTTTCCAGTAGATTAACTAATGTGAGCACCTATAAATGCCCGAATCGAAGTACGCTCTCCAGTGCACCTCTTTGAGGATGGGAACTACCACTCCAGTCTGCCAGTTCACAGACATGATCCCAGATCTCCATGTGATGTTACAGAGGCATTTGAGACATGATATTCCCAGCCTCCCTTGGAATGCTATTGAAGTTTGCTTAGATGTGGGAATTGAAGATCACAGACTGACAGATGCTCCCAGTGCAACCTCAATAAACATTTGGGCACACCGGGCCTGAGCAGCTTCCTCCCTCAACACCTGATCCAACTCACCACTAGGTCTGATCAGTTGACAGCTCCTCTCTTCACTCGATCAGCCATCACCCATGCCCCCCGAGGTCTCACTGTGAGAGTTGAAGTGTTTTAGTTAGACATTTGGGTGGGGAAACCTCCAGCACCGCACCCAGAACTTGCAAGAAGGGTGGGTAGTGTGAATTGTCATTCAGCACAGAAGCACAAGTGCCAGTCAGAACATATACCTGACTGGAGGAGCAGCGATGCAAACCCGACGTCAACTGGGGAAAAAACCCCAATACACAGGCAGTGAGCCGAGGTACCCATCACTGCCTGTTGCCTTTTAATGAATGCAACTCCAGACTGGAACGCAGCTCCTGTTCAAGAGACTGTTCTAGGGTCCTAGCTTGAGTTGAACACTGAATATTATCTAGCCAGTGCCTTTCACCCTGACACACTGCCTCAAGTTCCTTTCCCACCAAAAGGTGAGGTTCCTTGTCCTAGCCCAGCCTCTATAGCCAGGGATTGGACTGAACAGGGCACCTGACAATATGCAGTATGGGCAGTATGGTCCCTCCTGCTGGTGATGAGTCTACAGGAGGGATTCCCATATAATTTGGTCTTAGAAAGAAATCAGGGTATGGGCTGTACTGTTTTGAAAGCTTTAACTATATCTTTCAGTGCCTCTCTAGCAAAGCTTTAATGGAATGTACTTACTGTGTCGCACACTCATTAATAGAGCAACCAGTTTGCAGGTTTCACTTTGTCCCTCTGTGTATCTGAGTTACTGAAAGTGTGTTGTTTTCTTGGTCTGCTGTCTTTTCAGCATTAATTTTAATCAGGACGCGTCCCTCATCTGTGTGTCCAGTGACCATGGCACAGTGCACATATTTGCTGCAGAGGACCCAAAAAGGAACAAACAGTCAAGGTTGGTCTTTGCTTAAGTGTTTCTTTTTTCTGAACTTAGATGATGAGAAGAATCTGTTGCGTAGTAATTAAATCCGATGCAGTGTTATAAACATAAAGCCTAAAACACCCTGTTTATCTTTGTCTCTGCAGCTTGGCCTCAGCCAGCTTCCTGCCTAAATATTTCAGCTCTAAGTGGAGCTTCTCCAAGTTCCAGGTCCCCTCAGGCTCTCCCTGTGTGTGTGCCTTTGGAACAGAGCCCAATGCCGTCATAGGTAGGTTCCAGACACATGATATTTTCTGTAATGTCCAACTCATCGTCTGATCATGTAACAGTGTTTGACAGTTGCAGACGAGGACAGAATTATTACCCCAACCTGTTAAACAGAGTGAATGCTTTCTAACAGCTTTTCCAAACACCCTAGTTTGATTTGGATGTTTGCATTTTTCTACTTTGCACACAGAAACAAGAATATTCAGTTTTGCTCCTGACTGCTTCAGGTTTTCTTTCAAAATCTTCACATATCCTTTTTTCTTCATGATTCCTTCTACCTTGTTAGATTCCCAGTTCCAGATGCACTGAAGCATCCCCAATACCTCCACCGTGTTTCACTCTGTGGGGCAGTGCTCCATAGGTTAGATGCCTCTTCCTTGTTTCTCCAAACATAAGCAGCGTCTCTGTGGCCACAAAGCTCTAGTTTAATATCATCTGACCAGCAGAATGGGGAGGGATGGCACTGATTTTAGTCTGTTTTACACAGCAACTCTGGATGGCTATAACAAAATATCGTCTTAAAATGTATTTTTATTGTAGCTAGCTTATTGTCTCTCTATATCTTTCTTTTAAAAACATTTTAGTTTATGTTCTGGACTTCTCTCTTTTCCTCCTCACACTCAGCTCCAGACACGTTAACATTTCCTCATAAATTGTAGTTGCACAAATGACTTCAGCTCTAAGCGTTTCAGCTAAGGCTCAAGTGCTGCTCTCATTAAAAAACAGCTTGATTACACACATGTTGTTTCATGGCTTAATCCATGGACGAAAAACTTGCTTTAAGTGTTTGGTTCTTTTATCTTCAACTGTCAAAACAAAGCCCATAGCATCATAATGGATGTTCAGGGTGCCCTGAAGATCATGGTTCCACAAGAACAGCTGAAGACTCTGCCTCAGTTCTACTTTTGGAAATTCTAGGACCCATATGTCAGCCTGCAGTCTAAAAGTGAAGTGCTATACTGGGTTTATTTACTAATATACGATGAAATCTGTGCTATATGATTGGTGGGGCTGATCATTCAAGACTCTGTATGTGAGGAATAAGATGAACAAAAATGGGTGTCTTGGACAGTTTGCTATGATTTTATTTCATGTTGTGTCCTAATTGCCAAAAACTGATGTTGCGTTTGAGAGAGCTCATTAGATCACAACAAACGTTTTAATTTATTGGTCTTTTCTCACTCTTGTGAGATTGACTTGTATGGGCACAAAGCACACAATCAGTCACTGAGTTTTAGTTGTACTGCTGCTTCTCTGGCTCTCTTCCATGGTGTGTCTTTGTCCCGTCTTCCTTCCTTCACCCCAAGCTGGTCATGGTAGATGGCCGCACCTCCATGAGCCTGGTTTTTCTGGAGGTTTCTTCCTGTTTAAAGGGAGTTTTTCCTTCCCACTGTTGGCAAAGCGCTCGCTAATAGGGGGTCATATGATTGTTGGGGTTTTCTCTGCTTCCTCTGTATTATTGTAGGGTCTTTACATAACATAAGTTATAGATGCTATCATTTTACACATTTTAGTTTTGCCTATTTTTGCCTCTTTTCCACTAGAACCCACTCAACTCTGTTCTGCTTGTTTGTAGCTTTCAATTACAATTGAACACTACCTTGAGTCGTTATGGCAAGGCAGACTATTTTCTTTATTGCCAGGTTTAAAAATGGCAGGTTTGATTCTTGTGATGGAGGCACTCTCATGACTCATTCAGTGACATCACTACTAGGTACCTGGTAAGGTGCTACCACCTAATGGAAAACCCTAAAAGCCAAGTAGAGTCAAGTAAATAGGCCTTTGTGAATTTGGTACCCATCAGCTATTCACCTTCTCTTCCTGGAAACTAGCTAGTGCCTCTGATTCACTGAGGAGCAGTGTTTGGTCATGTCTGACTTTTGTTGTGATTTGGCGCTATATAAATAAAATTGAATTGAATTGAATAGTCTGTCAATCATGAAAAAGCAAGATTTTGTAATTTTTATAACTTCCTAATCTGATGTAGTACCATATGGTGAATTCTGTGTGTGGTATTGGTACAAACACTCATTTTTAATTTTTTTCTCCTTCTCCTCAATTTATAGCTATTTGTGCTGATGGCAGCTACTACAAGTTTCTGTTCAACCAAAAAGGAGAGTGTTCCAGAGATGTGTATGCCCAGTTCCTGGAGATGACCGATGAGAAAATATGACCTTTGACCTCTCTTCAGACTTCCTATTAAACAACCTGTTTTGTTTTTCTTTACAGTCTTTTTATTTTCAAGGCAGTTAGAGAAGATTTTTGTTTCACTTCTCGCTATCTTGACAGACTCTGTAAAAAGAGCATTAAATGAAGGGAGAACAAGGAAAAAGAAAAAAGGAATTTTTTGGGGTGGGAGGGGGCCTCTATGGAAAGGTGGTTGGCTGGAGGTATGAACAGTGAATCAGATTTCATCGACCTGCACTGAGGGACACGGACGATTTCCTCCTAAACAAAACACAAGGGGAATATAAAAGACAAAGTTATTTTTTGAAAGGACAACTTGCCGCTTTTTAAGACGTCTTCCGAGGAATTTACAAAGGATGGATATTTTTAATCACACAGATGATTCTGATAGTTAGAATGAGAATTTAGAGATTTTTGTCAACTAACACCACCTGACCTAACAATAGGGAGTGCCTCTGAAACTGGAGAGAATCTGTATGTGTGCACATATTGTTGTCTCATATATATCAAGTATTTGTGTATACTAGTGTACCATACTAAGCGTTTAAAAGCAGGATCAGAATGAAGATGACTGTTTTTCTTCACTTTGGTCTTAATTATCTGCAGAAACATCTACAGCCCCAAACAGAATGCCACCTTAGTATTACTAAATTTTCTTGTAGACATTGTATATACACAACCTGCCAGACAGAACTTCTACTCACAAACTGTACAGAATAGTAGCAAAAGAAATCACACATCCTTGACATTGTGCAATACATAATTTCCTTAATTATTATTTTTTTGTTTTGTTTTGCAGATTTTTTTTATATTTGCCTGATCAACACAGCTTAAAGAATTTGGCATATTTGTAAATAGTTATCTACCTTCTTGTTGAGTGAAGAGTGATACATGTCTGTATGGTAAATGTGAAGCTACAGAACACAGCTGGTTAGCTTTAGCTTAGCATAAGGTCTGGATGAAGGCGTCTAAGTCTGTCAATCAGTGCTTTTCAGTTTGTTTAAACAAAAGGGTAAAAATAACACATTTTGTCACTGTTACTTACACCACTTTGGTTAGTAGTAGTAGTTTTGTTGCCATAGGAACATATTGACATGTCAGCTTTGTTGACTGATTGTAGCAAACGACATGACATTGTTTACTGGCACTAATTGTTCACAAATGGAAAGAAGGAAAATTATTGGTTGTTATTAAAATAAGAGTTTCCCGGGCACTAAAGGTAAAAACAAAAGTTCCAGCAAAATTGATACTTTCTCAGTTGGTTTGGCCCACATTTTGCACTTTGACAATAAATACATTTAGTTCTTGTTACAAACTCAAAAAGAGGATGACAGAAGACTAGTTGACTGTAATTTCTCTATATAGAAACTAGCAGAGTTTTTCCTGTTTAAACTTATGCTAATTTAAGGTAACTGGCTTCTAGTCTTAGCATCCCATTTACCCGATAGATAATGAAGCCTTGGCATACAAGTGACTCAGCATTATCTCCACATTTTTGATTATTTATTTATTTATTTAATTTGTTCAGTTTGTGAAAGCAAAGTCCTTTTTCTTTTCTTTTTTTTCAAAGTGGGAGTTCAGTGAAAAGAGTAATACTCTTAAGTCTGTACGGTGAATCAAAAGCTTTGGCTGGTAGCAGTTTAGCTAAGTAAAGCAGAAAGAGTGGAAATAATTAGCACAGCTTTGTTGAAAAGTAAAACAAGTCACTAACCAGCCCTTCTAATAAACACCTTCTAGTTCAGTAATTGAGGTCATGAAACAACTTTAAGTGTTCAAATAGAAAATTTATTTTTGCATGTGTATAATATAAAAAAGAAAAAGCTAACTAGCTGCTAGCCTTAGTTTTCTGTTTACCTCTAGAATATTCAAATCTTTTTGCAAAAAATCCACATTTACCAAAATGCTGAAATGTTAACAGTGAATGTTGAGTGAATGTTTCTGCCACAACAGGGAGCTTAATAGCCAAACAAATATATTTCCTTAATAAATAACAAAAAAAGTTTGCTAGCAGCAGCTGAGATCAACTGTAACATTTAAAATTTGCTTTAAGAATGCACTTGTATTCAATATTCAGCCCAGTATGAATTAATCAGAAATGTCCCTAAAGATCACCACGTTATTTCTGGTAAAAGTAACTTCACCTCTTCACTCTGAAGCTAATTCAGCTAATGCAAAGTGAAGTGCTGTGTTGTTTGTTGGGCCATAAATTCAAATTCAAATTCAAATTTTATTTGTCACGTACACAGTCATACACAGTACGATATGTAGTGAAATGCTTGGACAACTGCTCGTGACCTAAAGAAAACAAAAAAGGAAAAGGCTATGAATAAGATAGGAAATAAATATGAAAAATTAAAAAGGGTAAATTTAACTAGGAAGGAATAAAATATAAATTAAGGTTAAAAATGAAATAACTGTACAACACAAATTAGAATGAAGGGTAAATTTAACTGGGAGAATAAGATAAAATATATAAATTAAAGTTGAAAATAAAATAACTGTACAACACAAATTAGAATGAAGGGTAAGATCTCACTCGGCCAGCTCGGATCCGGAGTTAAAAACTTCGAATTGTGAGTACATTGTATACCAATAGAAACAAGAGTGTCACTGTCATACCTAATGTACCCAATGGTGATGATTTTGCCGATTTAGAAACGCTGAAAACTAACTTAAAAAACAAAGACAAAGAAAAAGTGGTCGGAGCAGTCGTGACGGCAGCCGACCTCACCGGCGCCATCTTTCATTCATTCATAAATGGGACATCTCAGTGTGGATCCAACTCGGTTGAACTTGTATAAGCCACGCTGTTAATGGGTGCTTTTTTCCCCTCTCTCTCCATTTGTCAGCTGCTTGACAACATTTTGTTGATTCATTGCAAAATTTACATCACGTGTGTCACTTTTTGGGTCGCATTGTACTTTTGTAGGTGTAACGCTGAATATACACGGGACTTGGCGGGTACTGACTACAGGAGGGATGCTGCACAAACTGAAAAGCCAACCTGCTTCTTACACACGCAGAATGATTGTAAAACCTGCATTTAAATTTGTGAATAAAATTTTTAAAATTTTACAGTTAAAATAATGTGCTGTTTCATGCCTACTGTGACGTGGAAACCAAATGTAACACACTGAATCTGTGTAACTGTTGACTGTCTTACTGCTGTTTTTAATCACATCAGCACTGGCCCTGCAGCTAATATTTTAAGGATACATTTGGTAACAAGATCAGCATTTTGGGCACAAAATTTACTAAAGTGTGCGAATTGGAAAGTCATAGAAGTATGGATACATTTTAAAAATTGTGTAACTTGAAGCTTTGAATAATGGCCAGAGCAGAGGTTGCACTACAAAGGCAACTTTGTGTCAAAGTAATCCCTATAGTATGATGAAGTTAAGTATTTAAATTGCCTGGCAACATGACCTGGAGCTACACCACTGAATTTGCCATTTTTTATTTCACTTCTGGAGCAATAACTTCTTACAGTTATGTCCTGCTGAAGCTACTGCAGCCATGTTTCTCATAAACAAATGGAAGCTTTAACTACGCATGAAGTAATAGTTTACAGTTGGCATCAAGTGTGTGTTGCTGCATGCTGATTGGCACGGTTACCCCTAAAAAACAGGGAAGTCTTCAGTGTTTCATTTCAACTAAGATATTTTATTGATAATGCATTTGTCAAAACAAAAACAATAGTTCCAAATAAATATTTTTGCCGTTCAGTTGAGTTCACTGCTTTTCACTGAGAGCTATCATAGTAGCAACCGCTGCTATGGTCCTGGCTCAACTGCAGTGAATGCCCCCACTTTCTTAGCCATATATGGTCACTTTTGGCTCCAGAAAATATAGATCTGGCTAAAATATTAAACTGTAGTCTTCAAAGTAAATACCAATGCATTACATCAGAACGGGCATGTCCATCCTTCATATTCAGTCAAAAATGCATGAACTGCACTTGCTGTGTAAAGCTCTAAGCACTACCAAAACAAGCCCTCCTACGCTTGATCAATACACCAGAAACAACTGTACCTGTGACTTTGTTAAACTTCCTTTTAATCACATTTCAATGCATCCAATTCATAATTAAGAGAATGTCCTAAATTTGAATGCTACGGTTGACTGATTGGAATTTTCTTAAAATATCTTTACAGTTCAACCAACTGTAAATTTAAGGGTTTCTACAGGTGATCCAGTATACCTGTACACCTTTTCATAAACATAAATGTCACATTCAGACTGGAAATGTGTGAGCCAGTGTGTTTGTTCCTTTAGGAAAACTGTAAAAGGACATTTCCACTGCCTTTCGTGGACAATTTAATGTGAGGAATGCTTTCTGAAGCCTTTAACAAAACTTAACATGCCTCACCTCCACCCCAGATGTTCCCATCGTTCCATCAAAAATTTTTAAAAAAAATGAGACGGTGAGTTTGCATCATTTGCCCAGCAGAAAAGGCGTTTACTCAAAGAAATACAAACTAGGAGATTGTGTTTTAAATAAATTTATAAAAAAAAAAAAATAAAAAAAAAAAGCATTTTTCCACTGAAGCAGAACAAACACCTATCACTTGCTTTTCTTTGTGTAACATAGAATACAATCTGAATAGACTTTTTTTAGTAGCCTGAAAGGAGTAAAAGAATCCAGCCAACAGACTGCCAACTTCAACACAAAGGTAACAAAAAACAGCCAATAATGACAGGAAAACAAAACAAAGGAAAACTAGAAATATACAAATTAAAAAATGCAATTTAAAAACAAAAAGAAAAAAGAACTAGAGGTTAAGTGCAGCACTGGTCAGAATCAGCGTAGATCCAGTCAAAATTTTCTTCAGTTCCATAGTCGGATAATCTGCTCAGGTACATTGTTTCTAGAACCATAACATGCAAGCTCAATGAAGCATACGGTCAAATACACATGGGAATATATTTTTAACTCTTAGGATATTTGCAAAATATGAAAATTCTGTAGATGTACAGTGATAAAAGGAATTTAATTTGCATGAATGAGCAGAAAACTGGCATTAACTCCATAGTGTTTTCAATAAAAGGAAAAAAAAAAATTGGAGACTACATTCATTTCACCGAACAGAGTCCACATACAAAAACAGCAATATTAAAAAAAATAAATTATTAAAAAAAAAAAAACAAACAAAAAGAAAAATAATGTTGTAATGACGCCACTTATAGCTTTAGTTATCTTATTACTAGATAGTATCTGTGCCTCGGGAAATGGAGAAAGACTCAAAATATCCAAAGATACACTTGTACAACAGAATACTGCATATCTACTCACAACTGGGTTAGCTAGGTCGACATGGAGGCTAGCTGCCGAAGATGGGAATGTCCACACGTACATACACACACTTCCCCTTGTGGAATACACTACTGGTGAGATCACTTGTTTGCTGTTTCTATCTGACACACAGTTAAGCGCTTGTCTGTAATGCTACCAGGATAAGACTCCTTGTCTTCTTTGGGTGAGTTTTGGGACTCATTGTTGCTAAAAGAAAAAGAAAAGAAAAAAAAGCCTCTTTTTTTTTTTCCTTTAATGTGGATTTTCAAATCTTTTTTCCTTTCTGTGCTTCCTCTCGCCATCTGGGTCTCAAACATTGGGCATTTACAGTCGTCAGTAACTCTCTCAATTCCATTTTTAGGTTTGGTCTTTTAGTTTTTGCATCACGTTTCGTGGTCGGAAATACATGGAGGAGAGGTCGAGAAGAGTTTGCACATTCTGTAGTCCTTCGCTTTTTGGCACCTTGGAGTAAGATAATGACACCAGGTCAGATGTGTGGCTCAATGCGTACAGGAGAGCAGGGGTCAGGATGCAGATGGGAGCCGTTGGGAGCGGGCGGGCTACTTGTCGCCGACCTGCTCACTGACCCCTCCTTCTCCCGCTCTGTCCGTGGTGCCGTTGTTGCGGTTGGCAGCCGCTGCTTCGTTCTCCCCTTCTTCCTCCATTTTCACCCTCTTTGTCTCAGGCTGGTCTTGCAGTTCTCCGTTCTGCCTTTTAGTGGGGAGGGAAGCTGAGGCTGAAGCGTGAGTTGCCAGGAGATGCAGAGGGTTTGCAACAGCTGGTGGGAAAGAAGAGAAGATGAATAAGGTTCAATATGGAGTGTTATAGTCCTGTATTTCAAATTAGTTTAGGAACTTCCAAAACAAACTGAAGCCATCAAGAATGTGAAGAAACAACTGCTGGACTTAACATCCAAAACATCTATGCTGAGGAGTAGAGCTGGGCGATAGAACGATAACGATATGTATCGCGATATAACTTTTACTCGATAGAGAAATTAAGCTATCGCGATAGACCTCGCCGCTCTTGTCCTCTTAAAAAAAAAAAAAAAAAAAAAAAAAGGTCAGCCAATCCAAATTAAGTAGCGCAGAGCCGAACCAATCACAGCCGCAGCGTCACGTCGCGTGACTTGTTACGTACAGCACAAGTGCCAAGCCGCACGTGTGTTTGTTTGGGAAGCAGCCAGCGGGTAATGGAGGAAATGAGTGTGCCGACTAGAAAAATCAACCGAGCGTGACCGAAGAGAAAACAGATGATGGTTCCAACGCCGGAGAGATTGTCGAACGGAAGAGCCATAGAAGTTCCGTAGTGTGAAGGTATTTCGGCTATTTCAAGTCTGACAAAAAACAGAGTAGCGTGCACTGTAAATTGTGCCGAAAGCAAGTCTGGAAATACAATAAACTGGTGCATGCGTCACACTGTGCGCCACGTTATTGTTTCGGTGAAATGAATTTCTACAATACTGTTACTGTTAATTCTACTCTCTGCAGTGTTTAAATGCTTACATATACACACAGTTACTGTCCGTCCACACATACGACTCGGTTCTGCTTCTATGCCCCAGCTTTGTTTACTTTTTCCCACCGAGGCTTCTAGACTTCTGATTGGCCAACATTTCTGCACGGTTAGGAATCTAGCGCCACCTGCTGCTTTGGCATGTTCATAGCAGCGTTTTCCTTCATTTCTGCCTTTATGTGTGGACGGGATTATTTTTTAAAACGAAAACGGAAAATCTCCGTTTTCAAAAATACCCGTGTACGTGTGGACGTAGCCTCAGTCTCTGACTGGAAGCGCTAATTCGTCATTCGGCTTTTGTCAGACTAAAGTAACTGTTAAAACTGTTTGAAAAGAGGAAGACATGATCGAGGCAGAAGGAGCACTGATACTGATGTGGGAGGTATCACCAAACAATGGCAGAAGCTCCTGAAAGGCGAATCTTATCACCACTTCTAGAAGGAGTCAAGCTCAGAGAGTTCCACAGAGAAAAAAAATGATCCAAACTAGGACCAAGACAAAGAATGAATTTCCAATGTTCCTTGTACTCTGGTAAGATCAGAGCTATTAATAATAATGATAATAACAATAATACTTCCCAAGTAGTAACAGCTCATCAACGCCCCAGAGTTATGCAAACTGTCAGAATCCTTGTAGCACAGTAGCAGCACTCTTTCACTTTAGTTTAGTAATAACCCCTGACAGGAGCCTCAAACTCGCAGGACCTCAACACCTTCTTTGAGCTTCAAACCTTCTTTGCTCGGTTTGAAGCCACCCCTCCCCCACAGCCCTTGTCAAGTATTCCAATGACCACACTATGGTTCAGCTCATCTCTGATGGAGATGATGGAGAACTTGTCCCACTGGTGCTCAGAAAACAACCTGAAACTGAACGTCCTTAAAACAAAAGAACTCATAACGGACTTCAGGAGGCACAGACAGGTCCACAGGTGAGAACAGGTGGAATCTGTCTCCACCTTCAGGTTTCTTTATCATCACCCTGTTAAAGAAGGCCCACCAGCAGCTTCATCGGTGTTCATTGAGAACAGGAAGGCTGTGCAGCGGGTAATTAACACCACCCCAAAAAAAATAAAAAAAATAAAAAAAAAATCACTGGCTGTCCTCTGCCACCACTGGAGGCCATCACCTCCTGTCTTAAGAAAAGCATTACTACCACCACCTGTTTGACCTGTTGCCCTCTGGTCAGGGACTCAGGTCAGTGAGGTCCCCCACCTCCAGACTCACAAACAGCCTCTTCTCCTGGGCCAATCAGACTGTTAACAAACACTAAAGTGCTTTACAAAACTGAACATTACAGCTAACAGCTAGATTTCCCCATTTCAGCGCAGCTAGCCAGACAGCCAACAGCCACTTACTGCTAGAGACACAGACAGTGGGCAGTATGTTCTCGGCTTTAACATAAAACTCATTGTTGCAGCCTAGGGCAGCACAAAAGTGACCCCTTCAAACGGATTTTTAGTTTTAGTGTCGTTATTTTACTCCCAGTTATCAATTCTGTCACTGGTTAGCGAACATAAACTAATGTAAGCCTATTAGCTGCAGCTAACCAAACATGTTTAACAGGCGCTAAACATGTTTATAAAACTTTAAGCCTTATTTCTTAAACCCAGCTTCACAGACAGAGTTACATCTATGTCAGAGAGCAGAGCTCCATGATGATGTGTGTATTGTTTCATGTCCTGTTTCACAGTAAATGCGCTCTTTATTTATTAGAACCACTTCCACTAATTCCATAATGCTCCATTTATATTAATTAGATTTCCATTAATTAAATTTTTTGGATGGTAGCTCTTGTTCGTTGTAGTCTCTTTATTAATAGGTTCTAAACTATATTTCACCTCGCGATCTGTAATGCAGTTATCTAAATCATTTGTAAAATGAACAAATAATCTTAAATACTCACTAAAACTTACAACTGGTAAAATTAGTTGAAAAATTTAAAAAGTTAACTTTTTCACTGTTATATGCAGGATGGTCTCAAAATCTTCCCGTGATATCGTTGAAAAGTATTGTTACAGTTTCATAATAACTAGTGAGAGGTGACAGGCAGGGTACAAGGAAGCATGTTGACAAATCTATCATGATGCCATCCCTGCAAAAACCCAGTAGCTAATTAAGAGTTACCAATTAACCCAACATGCGTGTCTTTGAGGTGCACTAGAGCACACCGACTATTACAAAAGACAGGCATGTACAACAGCAACGGAAATGACCCTGCTGGGTAACGTTGGTTGTAAAACATGTCAAACTGAAGTGGACTCACATTAGTCACAAGGTAAGAGAGACTGTAGATCATCGAAGCTAGGTTATATGGCAATGTTTGGAGATCCTCAACATAGCATCTCCATCTTCTGGCTACATAAGGTTTACATCACTACGATTGCAATATATACAGCGAGGTGCTCAAACATGCCTTCAGATCATTTACTTCAAATGGAACAAGTGTGAATCTGTGTTGTTTTTGAGTCAGCATGTTCATATAATAATTTGTGGTCCAATTCTACTTACAAGCACCATAATTAGCAGAGATCTTTGTATACCATTGGTATCAATATTAGAGCTGGGCGATAGAACGATAACGATATGTATCGCGATATAACTTTTACTCGATAGAGAAATTAAGCTATCGCGATAGACCTCGCCGCTCTTGTCCTCAAAAAAAAAAAAAAAGGTCAGCCAATCCAAATTAAGTAGCGCAGAGCCGAACCAATCACAGCCGCAGCGTCACGTCGCGTGACTTGTTACGTACAGCACAAGTGCCAAGCCGCACGTGTGTTTGTTTGGGAAGCAGCCAGCGGGTAATGGAGGAAATGAGTGTGCCGACTAGAAAAATCAACCGAGCGTGACCGAAGAGAAAACAGATGATGGTTCCAACGCCGGAGAGATTGTCGAACGGAAGAGCCATAGAAGTTCCGTAGTGTGAAGGTATTTCGGCTATTTCAAGTCTGACAAAAAACAGAGTAGCGTGCACTGTAAATTGTGCCGAAAGCAAGTCTGGAAATACAATAAACTGGTGCATGCGTCACACTGTGCGCCACGTTATTGTTTCGGTGAAATGAATTTCTACAATACTGTTACTGTTAATTCTACTCTCTGCAGTGTTTAAATGCTTACATATACACACAGTTACTGTCCCTCCACACATACGACTCGGTTCTGCTTCTATGCCCCAGCTTTGTTTACTTTTTCCCACCGAGGCTTCTAGACTTCTGATTGGCCAACATTTCTGCACGGTTAGGAATCTAGCGCCACCTGCTGCTTTGGCATGTTCATAGCAGCGTTTTCCTTCATTTCTGCCTTTATGTGTGGACGGGATTATTTTTTAAAACGAAAACGGAAAATCTCCGTTTTCAAAAATACCCGTGTACGTGTGGACGTAGCCTCAGTCTCTGACTGGAAGCGCTAATTCGTCATTCGGCTTTTGTCAGACTAAAGTAACTGTTAAAACTGTTTGAAAAGCTAAGCTATACAACAAGGAGAGATTGAGAATTTCCTTTTAGTTCTCAGTTTATTTGATATTGACAAAAGTTAGTCAGTTTTGTCTGTTCTTCTGTAAAACAAACTAAGATTTATTTTTAGAATTAATATTTTGTTTCTAAGTGGAATTGACAATTTAGTCTGTTTCGTTTGTTCTATTTTGAAACTTAAACGCTTTAGCGGCTGCCTTTTGTGTAGTTTGCAATATTTGCCTTTATTTATCTGAAAAAGTCTCATGTTCCTTAAGTACATCTACCCTGTTGAACTTATTATGGGAAATAAATATTTAAATAAAAACAAGCTGCTGATTATTTCACATTTTACTTGTGAGCAACGGCACATTTAAATCTTACAAATATAGTTATTTGGCTTATATCGTGATAGATATCGTTATCGCCTGAAATGAAAAAAACATATCGTGATATGAAAAAATCTCATATCGCCCAGTTCTAATCAATATAGACCTAAACTCAATCTGATCATTTACTTTACAGGGAGGATTGCTGCAATCGTTTCTACTATGCATGTTTCTCCAGTACAGGCTGAGATGATTGAAATCTCAGTGGCATACTACAGAAGTAGTTGTTAGGTAGGTGTTAATGATGGTGATTAACTTTCTCTGTTAAGCTGGGCTTTTTGCTTTGGGCTCTATGCACCCTCATAAAAAGAGGCATTACTGTCATGTGATTATTCTTCTCCGAACAAATGATCCAGGTGAGTGCGTCTTATTCCAATCAGACAGTATCAGATCAGCATAATAAAACGATGATAAACATCATCAACAACCTATAAACTACCTGGAAAGAAATAGTGGATTTAGTGCACAGAGCTATAAAATAACCTTCTTAAAATAACTGAAGGTGAATGTTATGAAGGTTATTCTCCTAAAGCCCAATAAAGGAGATGTGGAAACTGCTTTTGTTTGGTGGCAGATCAAAGAGAAATCAATTGAATTGATTGAACAGCTATCCTTGGTAACAAATTGCCTCCAAATACAACTAAGCAATTTTCTAATCTCTATCCTACTATCTGCAATTCCAGCAATTTAAAATGAGACTTACTGGTAGATTACCATCAAGTATAAACAACATATACACCTTTTCATCATCACAAACTGAATACATGAATTCCAGTGAATGCACAGTTGTGCTTGAGGTACAGCTTAACAACTTGCACATATAAAATGTATTTGTCCAACACAGACACATGCTGACCATAAAAGAATTTGTTTAAACCAAAGCTCTGAACATAGCCTGCTCTCAACCAGGTTATTTGTTAAGAATAAGTTACCAGTCAGTCTCAGATATGAAGCATCAGGAGACATGACAAGGAATGGTGGAAGAAGCACTCAGATACTTAGGACTAATGGTAGAGTAGGCCTTTATTCCCATTTTCACCTGGTTTCTAGTTCAAACCTTCACTTCCACCAACCATGCTGTAGGTTTTTTAAAACTGGCCTTTATTAATGAAGTGCTGGTTTGACTGTGTGTGTGTCCGACTCACCTGTGCTAGCGGCAGTACTAATGGGGACCAGATGGGTCCCATTCTGTGTGATGGCCTTTATTGGGAGTTGGTGCTGACCGAGCGGAGCTTGTTGCACGATGGTAACCGTAGTCAGAGGAGCAGCTTGAGAGCTCTGGATGATACGACTGACTCCACCTATGGAGGAGGCTGTAATGGATGGGACCGGCTCCACTTTTACTGCACACAAAAATATCAAAAATTACACATGCTCATAGAATCAAAAACAAACCAAAACAACAACAACAAAAAGAGCACCACCTTTGATCTCCTTGTGCTCTCTGCTTCCATTCTCCTGAGGTTCGCTGCTCACTGCAGAAGCAGGCTGTCCACCAACAGTTGCCATGGTGACAGCTGGGATCTGGTGAACAACATGCACAGTCTGCATGACAGGGGCAGAGCTAACTGTAGTCGTAACAATGGCTGGTGTGGCCATGGCATAGGTCACAGGCTTCATGGTCGTTTGAGGCATCTGGCGCTGCACAGCGATCAATACTGGCTGATTGCTGAGAGGGGAGCCTGTCAAACGGTGTGATAAAGGTTAAAGCAGATGTCATTCACTCAGATAAAGATGTGCAGGAGCACACAAACACTGTACACTGTCACAGAAGAGGGTTTAATATGGGGTGGTGGTGGTACTGCGGTCTTTTTTGTCACGAAAAACTGAAAAATGTGAATGCATCTGTTAAGGCCCACATGTGATCACTCTGCACACACTACATGTTATATGGTTCATAAAAAGGACAAAAACCTAAACCCAATGTTTTACCTGGGGAGTTCTGTGCAAAGCGGGCCTCTTGGATGACGGCGAGTTTGGGCTGGATTGTTGTGGCTTGGGTTGGGGCTGGTGGTGGAGTTGGCTCTGGCTCCATGGGGACTGGGGAGCCCTCTCTGGACAGGCTGTCTGGGGTCTGGACCCCACTAGAGTGGGCTGACAGTGCCCCAGTGTGGCTTGGAGAAGCTGGAGCACTCCTGGAAAAGTAAAAGTAAAGTACAGTTTTCATCCCAGCCATAAAAAACACACTATATAACTGTACAGGAAACTTCTTACAGTCATGTATGCGTAGCATCAAGATGCTTTACCTGGAGGACAATGGCCCTACAGGGGTCCTGAAGCAGGGCACACCCCTGGGCCTGCGCTTCCTGAAGGCTTGTTCTATCAGCTTGCCTTCAGAGGCGGGGTCGATCCTCCAGAATGAGCCTTTACCTGGCTCTTCCTGAGACCGAGCCACTTTGATGAAATACCGGTTCAGAGACAGGTTGTGGCGAATCGAATTCTACAGAATCAAAATTAAATAAAATTAAGAACTTTAATTAAACTGAAGATTTTGTTGGGGTATCCATGTTTGATAATGCATAACACGCCCATGTTGTTGTACAGGATGGTTTGGTGTAAACTGCAATTCGATTTTCCATTTTATTGCGACAGTAACAAAGTTTTTAGTCACTTTGAGGCACATTTGTCAAACCTCACCCATGTGTGTAAATATCAGCATTTTACTGTTAAATCCTGCATCCTGTCAATGAAAAAAAAGTCACTCAGTCAAAGTTCAGAGCATAAATTAGATCCATGTATTAAATCAACTGGGGCATCTTCATACAATAGAAATCAGAGGTGTACTTTCAGCTTTAGACAACACAATACAAAAAAAACCCAAACCTGCCTCTCGTGTTCATTAACACTGAGGACATAGCCATACTCTGTATGAGCGCTTCATTGTTCCTCCTAGTTCATTGCCTTGTAACGTCTGAGCAGAAAAGCTGCAGCATCTGGCTCTCAATGCTAATTAAAACACACTAGTATGCTGCAGACAACAGGTAACAGCGGAAGACACATCAACATAAGAAGCGTTTGTAACTGTTTGTATAAGAGTACTGTGTTGTATTGAACTGAACACATTGAAACTACATTTAAATTAGGTGAATGACACCCGTTGCCTCCCTTTTAAATGCACCCCTGCATGTTGCTGGTCTCACCAGTGCAGGAGACTGAGGACAGCTGTTGTTAGCTTGCAACATAGATTGCTTGTTTAGTTTAACAGAAATCTAATGTGAACTATTTTCACATCGCCTTGATTTTCACTTGGTCTTAAGGGCTGTAGCTCAGGTGGCAGAGCAGGTCAGCCACTAATCAGAAGGTCGGTGGTTCGATCCCAGGCTGCCTCCTGGCTGCATGCCAAATATCCTTGGGCAAGATACTAACCCCGTGTTTGCCTACTGGTGGTGGTCAGAGGGCCCGGTGGCGCCAGTGTCCGGCAGCCTCGCCTCTGTAAGTGCGCCCCAGGGCAGCTGGGGCTACAATGTAGCTGCCATTGCCAGTGTGTGAATGGGTGAATGACTGAATGTAGTGTGAAGCGCTTTGGGGTCCTTAGGGACTAGAAAAGCGCTATACAAATGCAGGCCATTTACCATTTAATTCAGTGACGTTATAGTACAGCCTCTTTGCCCTTTGTCACATGTGTTTTAGAGAGGAAAGGCTGAGCTCAACCATGAACTATACTCAGTGGCGGTCGTAGCCTGTTTTGCTCCCCGGGCGAACACTCCCCCCCCCCCCCCACACACAAAACATATTAAGGATTGTACATTAACATAAAACTGTATGTCGAAATTCACCAAAGAAGAAACACACCATACACAACACACACACACACAGCACACACACACACACACACACACACACACACACACACACACACACACACACAATAGAAGAGAGAGAGTATGCATGAATGCAAACGCTACCAAACAGCCATCATAATCTCATACAATGAGAACAGGACAAATCAACAATTGACAATGACTAATTAATATTAAAATCTGTAACATAAATTGTTTGGAGTTTAGTCTGTTACTGTTACTATTTTTACCATTTCTTCTTGGAGCAACTGTAACCCACATATTTCCTTAGGGATTAATAAAGTATTCTGATTCTGATTGTTTCAGGATGACCTGCCATATCCAATCACACATCTGCTTACCTGTATCTTTTGCTCGTTTCTCCTCCTCTCTTTTCTTTTTTTCTAAACTGAGCACCTGATGGCTTTGAACTTTTCTTGTCCATCTTCCATTGGTTTTAATTTTGCACTCCAGTATGAACACCCATCCCAACCCGAGGATCACCACAACATAACCTAAAGACCTACACCTTAGTTCACAGATTCACTTTGTCTAAGTGTATTTCTGGGATTTCACACAACCCAGGATTCAAATCATGAATACATAATTTACAACATTATGAATGAAATGTGCTCTGATTTGGAAGCAGCCGCCCCCTCCCCTTTCGACGGGTTGTGTGTGAGACTTTAAATCATCAAACTGTAAATTATAAATTTTAAATTGTTATTGATCCTTTACCCCGAGTCCTAAAGTGTATATTTATTTTCTTACTCTTCTTATATTTATTGTTTGTTTACTTGCACTGCTGTAACTGGAGCCTCGTCGTCTCGTCTCTCTATATACTGGACTGTATGTAGCGGAGATGACAATAAAGTTTACTTTGACTTCAGCAGCGAGCAGGCGCACCGAGGGCTCTCGCGCTCACTTTTCCGTATAGAATTTCGAAAAAACATCGGTGCAAATTATAAGTCTGTATCATAATGTCTGGTGTTTTCGTGTTTGTTGTTTTGTTTTTCCATCCATTCGCTTCCGCTTCTCCTTTTCAGGGGCGCTGGAGTCTATCCCAGCTGTCATGGGGCGAGAGGCGGGGTACACCCTGGACAGGTCGCCAGTCTGTCGCAGGGCCAACACACAGGGACAGACAACCATTCGCACTCACATTCACTCGCACATTCACACCTAGTGACAATTTGGATTATCCAATTAACCTATCCCCACAAGCTGCATGTCTTTGGACGGTGGGAGGAAGCCGGAGTACCCGGAGGGAACCCACGCAAACACGGGGAGAACATGCAAACTCCACACAGAAAGACCCCGGCCTGATGGTGGAATTGAACTCAGGACCTTCTTGCTGTGCGGCAACAGTGCTAACCACCGTGCCGCTCAAGGTGTTTTGTTTTTATTTTGTTTTATTTTGCGAGTTGGTTATTAGACGCTGCTCCAGCCAGCCAGAGAATCCCCGCCGCCCCACCCTCTCCTCCCTGTGCCGCAAGCAGCAGGCGCACCTCGCAAACGAAGGGCACCCTTACTCCCAGCAAATGGGCGATAGAAAACCGATCGGTGCCTACCATTCCCAATATGCGCTGGCTGATGTCGGGGCAGCATGAGTACGAGCAATTTTTTTTTTTTTTTGCCGATGCCCGTGCTGCCGCCCTGGGCAACCGCCCGTATCAAAAACCACTACTGACTATACTGCTGATAGCCTGAACTTCACTGATGTTCTCAACCTTGTTGTCAGGGAAACCAATGCTAAATCTGGGCTAACACACATGCTCATAAGCACATTTTACAAATCCTCATCCTCATTAGTCGGCAACATCTCTTTGTTTTTGCTCCCCGGGCGTTTTTTTGCTCATCTGCACCCCCCCAACAACACCAAAAACAAAACAGAAACCATTTATTAGTCAGGGTTTGCTTCACCCAGTTTACAGGTTCACTTACTAACTGTGATTAGTGGAAACACAGTCACTGGCCTGAATGAGCTAACAGCTGGCCATCTAACTTCGCCTGGGGCATCAGGTCATTGGTTGTATTGAACACTGCTTCCACTCCCCGACAGTTATACAAGGTTTGCTGGGATTCTCAGCAATGTGTACATTTTAAAAAGGGATATATTTCACTTTTTAAAATGTACACATTGCTGAGAATATTTAATTTTTTTCCCCTTTACTTTGCAGTGAAGTCATTTAGTAAAGCCACTCTGTTACAGGGAGCTGTTTTCTATTTGTGATTGTAATGTTAAAGAGAGAGTATTCCAGTAAGAGCCATACCCAAATGCTGTTCAAACTTTCCTTTTGTGAGGGGGAGCCAGTGAGAAAAAGTTGGGATTTGAAAGTGATCTAAAACAGCATTTCAAATAATTAACTGAGGCCCTAAAACAAGAAATATTTGAAACTGAATCAAACAGAACTACTAGATGAAGAAAGTAGACAGGTGTACTGGGAGGCTAGGCGTACGGCAAAGAGAAAGCAAAAGGCCTTCTGTTATTTGTATGTGAGTCTGGAGACTAAGGAAGGGCAAAAGGACTAGTACTGGCTAGGCAGAGATACAGCTGGAAAGGATGTGCAGCAGACTGGGATGATTAGGGATACAAATGGAATGAGATGTAAATGTAATTAACAAGTGAAGACGTAAAGAGTACTTTGTGGAGCTCATGAATGTAGAAAATGAGAGAGTAGGACAGATCGAGCAAAGTTAATGAATCAGAGAGTGTGTAGCGGTAAAGAGGAAGTGAGGGCAGTTAGAAAGAGGACAAAGAGTGGGAAAGCAGTTGGTCCAGATGGCACACCTGTGGAGGTATGCAGCTCTGCCAAGTCAACTTCCCTCTAAGAGAGAGGGAAGTTGACTTTTCAACCAGACTGACGTTTAACACAATTCTGGAGAGAGAGGATTGCCCGAGCAATGGAGAAGACGTGTACTGGTACCGATTGTGATGTGCTACTACAGAGAGATAAAGCTGAACCATAAAGCTATGGGAAAGAGATGCTGAAACTAGGTGCGAAGAGTGAGCAGAAGTACAGCTTTAAGCTAAGAAAGTAAACTACAGATGCAAGGTTGGCTTTGAGAGTGCTGATAGAGAAGTACACAGAACGCCAGAATAAGTCACATTGTGTCTTTGTGGATCTAGAGAAAGCATATGATAGGGTTTCAAGAGAGGAACTGTGGTACTACTATACCTACTATACAGGGTGGTACAAGACACGTATGAGGACAACATCAGGGATTAGCTCTGAGCCCTTTCCTGTTATCAATGGTAATAGACAGATGATGAGAATCGATAAACAGATAAGGAGGCAGGAGTCTCAATTGACTATAGTCAATTGAGACTATAGTTTGCAGATGGCATTGTTATCTGTAGTGAAAAGTCACTAGAAGGGATGTGAATGAGCTACACAGGTGGAAATGTGAACGTGCAAAGAGCAGAGGTGATGCAGACAAAGGGGTTTCATACCTTTGATCAACCATCCAAAGCCACAGACAATGCAGAGGACAGGTGAAGGAGAGTGCAGGCATGCTGGAGTGGATGAAAAGGAATATCAGGTATGATTTGTGAATGAAGGATAGCAGCAAAAGTGAAAGGGAAGTGAAAACCACTATGATGTATGGTTTCAGATGAAGACACTAACAAAAAGACCAAGGAATTGTTGGAGGTGGCAGAGCTGCAGATATTAAGATTTTCACTGGGAATGACCAGAATGGACAAGATTAGAAATGAATACTTCAGGCAGACAGCTCAGGCTGAGTGGTTTGGAGGAAACAACTGGAGAGACAAGGCTGAGCTGTATTTAGCATGTGCAGAGGAGGGATAGTGAATATACTGGACAAAGGATGTTGAAAATGGAACTGCCAGGCAGAAGGAAAAGAGGAAGACCACAGAGAAGATTCGTGGATGTAGTGACGGAGGGTTGGTTTGACAGAGGAGATACTAGAGAGTAAGATGAAGCCAGATAAGATGTTTTGTGGACCTGGAAATAAGAATAACAGATCCTGCGAGATAATTACATTAAAACTATGGCCCTTTCCATTTACAAACCTTATGGGGGTAGAATAATACAAATAATATAAAATAATGAAGTTCAGATGTCTATATTGTGTATATGCAGCTTGTTAAGCTAGATCTTAGTGAAACCACTGAATGAAGCGGCAGCTATGCATCAGATAGTCATGGATATGTGGGTATTATTTTCACGATTTAGAAAATGTATACATGTTATTATACTTTATTCTAATCCACTCCTAAGTCTCTCTAACACTACTGAAACTGCAGGTACTAGAAGTAGAGCTGGGCGATAGAACGATAACGATATGTATCGCGATATAACTTTTACTCGATAGAGAAATTAAGCTATCGCGATAGACCTCGC